AATTAGAGGTCACGGAAGTGAATATATTAATGTGAGTGATTAGCATGATGTTAATGTGAGAAATTAGAGGGCACGGATGTGACTATGTTAATGTGAGAGATTAGCATAATGTTAATGTGAGATATTAGCATGGTGTTAATGTGAGAACTTAGAGGGTACGGAAGGGGGTATGTTAATGTGAGTGATTCGCATGATGTTAATGTGATAAATTAGAGGCCACGGAAGTGGCTATGTTAATGTGAGAGATTAGCATGATGTTAATGTGAGAACTTAGAGGGCACGGGAGTGGCTATGTTAATGTGAGTGATTAGCGTGATGTTAATGTGAGAGATTAGCATGATGTTAATGTGAGAGATTAGATTGCACGGAAGTGGCTATGTTAATGTGAGAGATTAGCATCTTGTTAATGTGAGAAATTAGAGGGCAATGGAAGTGGCTATGTTAATGTGAGGGATTAGCATGATGTTAATGTGAGAGATTAGATTGCACGGAAGTGGCTATGTTAATGTGAGAGATTAGCATGATGTTAATGTGAGAAATTAGAGGTCACAGAAGTGAATATGTTATTGTGAGTGATTAGCGTGATGTTAATGTGATAAATTAGAGGCCACGGAAGTGGCTATGTTAATGTGAGCGATTAGCATGATGTTAATGTGAGAAATTAGAGGGCAGGGAGTGGCTATGTTAATGTGAGTGATTAGCGTGATGTTAATGTGAGAGATTAGCATGATGTTAATGTGAGAGATTAGATTGCACGGAAGTGGCTATGTTAATGTGAGAGATTAGCATCTTGTTAATGTGAGAAATTAGAGGGCAATGGAAGTGGCTATGTTAATGTGAGGGATTAGCATGATGTTAATGTGAGAGATTAGATTGCACGGAAGTGGCTATGTTAATGTGAGAGATTAGCATGATGTTAATGTGAGAAATTAGAGGTCACAGAAGTGAATATGTTATTGTGAGTGATTAGCGTGATGTTAATGTGATAAATTAGAGGCCACGGAAGTGGCTATGTTAATGTGAGCGATTAGCATGATGTTAATGTGAGAAATTAGAGGGCACGAAGTGGCTATGTTAATGTGAGAGATTAGCATAATGTTAATGTGAGAGATTAGAGGGCATGGATGTGACTATGTTAATGTGAGAGATTAGCATGATGTTAATGTGAGAAATTAGAGGGCAATGGAAGTGGCTATGTTAATGTGAGGGATTAGCATGATGTTAATGTGAGAAATTAGAGGTCACAGAAGTGAATATGTTAATGTGAGTGATTAGCATGATGTTAATGTGAGAAATTAGAGGTCACAGAAGTGAATATGTTAATGTGAGTGATTAGCATAATGTTAATGTGAGAGATTAGCATGATGTTAATGTGAGAAATTAGAGGGCAATGGAAGTGGCTATGTTAATGTGAGAGATTAGCATGATGTTAATGTGAGAAATTAGAGGGTACGGGAGTGACTATGTTAACGTGAGAGATTCGCATGATGTTAATTTGAGAGATTAGCATGGTGTTAATGTGAGAAATTAGAGGCCATGGAAGTGGCTATGTTAATGTGAGTGATTAGCATGATGTTAATGTGAGAATTTAGAGGGCACGGAAGTGGTTATGTTAATGTGAGTGATTAGCATGATGTTAATGTGAGAACTTAGAGGGCACGCAAGTGTCTATGTTAATGTGAGAGATTAGCATAATGTTAATGTGAGAAATTAGAGGGTACGGGAGTGACTATGTTAACGTGAGAGATTAGCATGGTGTTAATGTTAGAAATTAGAGGGTACGGGAGTGACTATGTTAACGTGAGAGATTAGCATGATGTTAACGTGAGAGATTCGCATGATGTTAATGCGAGAAGTTAGAGGGTACGGGAGTGACTATGTTAATGTGAGAGATTAGCATGGTGTTAATGTGAGAAATTAGAGGCCACGGAAGTGGCTATGTTAATGTGAGTGATTAGCGTGATGTTAATGTGAGAGATTAGCATGTTGTTATTGTGAGAAATTAGAGGCCACGGAAGTGGCTATGTTAATGTGAGAGATTAGCATGATGTTAATGTGAGAAATTAGAGGGCACGGGAGTGACTATGTTAACGTGAGAGATTAGCGTGATGTTATTGTGAGATATTAGCATGTTGTTAATGTGAGAAATTAGAGGCCACGGAAGTGGCTATGTTAATGTGAGTGATTAGCATGATGTCAATGCGAGAAGTTAGCGCGTAACTGGAGAAAAGAAGGAAAAGAAGAGTGGCCTCCTAGACGACGGAGTGCAACCCAACGGGTGAGCATGAGAGTGCAATCCAAAGGGCATGTGAGCATGAGAGTGCAATCCAAAGGGCATGTGAGCATGAGAGTGCAATCCAAAGGGCATGTGAGCATGAGAGTGCAATCCAAAGGAGATGTGAGCATGAGAGATCTAAGAGAGAGGCATAGAGAGAGAGAGTCGAAATAACAGCTGACATAGGCAGGTAGGATGGAAACGTCACAGTCAGTTAAGACTTTACCTGGTTACTAACGTCCTCCCAATGATTGCTCAGTTTGTACCCATCCTCTCGGTTGAAGTTGTGTCTGTGTTTATACATCTGGATGGCTTCATGAACAAATCTCTGAAGGTAGCCGGTAGGTTTTCAGAGTACCTCCGTCTTGGAAAAATCAATTTCGAGTGAGCCCACAGCGTTAAAACAATGATCGGCAACGGCAGAGGTATTGGTCCTACCGTGTTTCAGATCCGCCTAGTGTGTTCACGGACGCCGTCCGTGTCATATAATTACAATAACCCCAACCACCTCTGATCTCTGCACCTGATGGGTTCAGTGATGACATCATCATGCTCTATTTAAGACCAGAAGCAGGTGGATTGCTTCAATATTCTGGTAAATTCGCCCGATGATGCTGGATGTAATTGCCAGCGAAATGTCGCACCACTCAAATTGTGGATTCACTCTCCAATACACCGGTGGGCTGAAATAGTAACTAATTGGCGCGTTGTTTACGTGGTCGAGGGTCACGACACATTCATACTTACGCGATCTAACCCAAAAACCTTTAATATGATAACTGCTCTAAGTTATAGGAACAGGTTTTACCCTTTTAACTGGCACAAAAACTGACACCTTTATTCAAGGCATCATGTTTGCAATAACCACAACACAAGCAGTCAAATTTTTGTGTTGTGGCTATTGCAAACATGATGCCTTGAATAAAGGTGTCAGTTTTTTGTGCCAGTTAAAAGGGTTAAAACCTATTCCTATATCTTGTTACTGGCAAAGGAGGTCTCATAATGTAAATGCTCACCCCGAGCCCTCAATACTCTGATAGTGTGCTGTTTTTGAGTTGTACGCCTTTTGGCGTCTTCTGGTCCAACACCAATGGAGACTAGGCTCTAAGAAAAGCCGTCTCTGGTGTGGACCAATCAAATTCAAGGACAGTGCCAATATCATTATCAGAGTTGTCTCTTTTTGTTTGCATTTTGACTGCTTGTGTTGTGGTTATTGCAAACATGATGCCTTGAATAAAGGTGTCAGTTTTTTGTGCCAGTTAAAAGGATTAAAACCTATTACTATATCTTGTTACTGGCAAAGGAGGCCTCATAATGTAAATACTGCTCTAAGTGTTCACTTGATGAACCCGCTTCGTTGGGCTGTCATTTGTGATGGCCAGATCGCTTCTGAATCAGAAGCTACGTAGCTCAGTGGGGCTTACACCTGGCAAGTTTAATTTGATTACGGGTCTCTATGGGTCTCTATGGGTCTCTGTGGTTCTATGGGCCTCTCTGCGAATCTGTCTAACGCGTTTGAGTTTCAGCTTCATGTATGAGGTATTGCTCTGTGAGAGCCATGCGGCTCTTGACTCGGCTGCAACCGCAACAAAACAAAAACACGACCAAAGTGAAGTCACGTAGAAGGTGCAAATAAAATAACAAAAAATTACGACGTTTCGGCCACAACACAAGCGTCCTTCATCAGGTGAAGGGACGAGACTGTCTGGAGGACAGCGCTGGAGTGGAAGAAGCCACGCTTAGATCACGACCTTTAAGCTGTGTCGTGATCGTGATCTAAGCGTGGCTCCTCTCACTCCAGCGCTGTCCTCCAGACAAGTCTCGTCCCTTCACCTGATGAAGGCCGCTTGTGTTGTGGCCGAAACGTCGTTATTTTTTGTCATTTAAATTTTTACCTACGTGACTTTACCCAATAGAACCAAAGAGTATGGATCCTAGCAGTCACGAAAGCTTTAAATCTAGAATCTTAAAGTGACTACGCTTGTTTAGAGCATTTGGTTGCTTCCATAAATGTCCACGTTGTGGTGGACATCAGCAACTCGGTTCGGACTCTACTTCGTGATGGCCAGGTCGCTTCTGGAAAAAAAAAGCTACGTAGTAGTTCAGTGGGCTTGACCTGGTTAAACTTTTTGTTGTTTCAGTCTAGAGTTTTTGGACGCCGCTTTAACTTTCTGCGCGACGATAGGCCACTTGCGTTGAGCTGCTATCATCTGCGATTAGCCGGTCGCTTCTGATAATGAAGCTACATAGCTCAGCGAGGCCTTACGCCTGATAACAAACAAAAATAAAACAATTGTTTAGTTGTCGTATGGGTCTCTCTGAGTCTCTGTGGGTGTGTGGGTCTCTGTGGCTCTATGGGTCTCTCTGTAGAACACGTGTTTAGAGTATCTGGTTGCTTCTATAAATGGCCACGTTGTGATGGACATCAGCGACTTGGTTCGTGATAGCCAGGTCGCTTCTGCAAAAAAGAAGCTACGTAGTTCAGTGGGTTTTAGCTGGTAAAATAAAAAAAATGGTTTAGCTTTACAGAATTCAGCTGCTGCTGCTTTAAATTTCTGCACGATGATACTTTACTTCCATTGAGCTGCTATCATCTGCGAATGGCCGGGTAAGCTTAAAAATATAAAAAAAGCAGCCACTCAGGCACAGCGGTGGGTAAAATAAAACGCGGAGGAAAAAAAAAGATTCCCACCACTTAATTTGTATTCAATTAAGGTTCACTCACCTGCGAGGTTCCCCGTCACGACGAAGAAAACCAACATCGTAGCCCGTGCTGACGTTCCGCAGCCCATTCTGCCGAGCGTCGCCGACAGAGAAAGAGCGGACTAACGGCTCACTCCGATAAAGCCAGTTGCTGATAAGAGAAGAAAAAAAATTAGCAACGAGAGTGGGTTTGTGTGGGCAGGGGCTTGATCCGTTGCAAGGGTAACCAAATCGTAAAAATTTTGACTTGAAACTTTCCTGACTGCAGGAATTAATATTCTTGGTTCTTTCGGTAAAGTAACATAGGTAAAAAAAAGAAAGCGGTCTTCATCAGGCGGTTGAGAGAAAAGAGGGGGCAAGCCTCCAAATGCAACTGCTTGTGATGAGCCCTTTCAGAGTGAGCAAAGCCGTGCAGCTTAAACAGCACAAGTAAAACGAATGCGTTAGACAATGGGGGGGGGGAGCATTGACATGGGGAGAAAGGGGGGGGTAGAGATAGGGGGAGAGAGGGGGGTAGAGATTGGGGTGAGGTGGGGGGGGGGGCATTGCACCTCGCTACACCCATCCACACTGCCGACGGTGGTGGTTGACAAGAAAGCACAATTCAAGTCACGAGCCAAAGTGGTTGATGACATCTTTACAATGATTGCCGGGGTTCAAAACCTGCCGCCTTGGTTGAAATTGTGTCTGTGTCTGTACGTGTGTAGCGCCGGATCGCGTGTGCACGCGCCGCCTGCATCCACTTACCTGCCAGTTCGCCTGCATCCACTCACCTGCAGTTGCAGCCAGAGGTCGGGAGGGTGTGCTAGCCAGAACAAGGGGATAGAGAGGGAGCCGGACCAAAGGGAGGCTGTGTCCCCCTCCCCTACCCCAGGTGGTGGGGGGGGGGGGGGGGGGGACTGGGACGGGGCCCTTCAAAGGATCTTCTGGAAGGTTCCAGAAAGGGGGCGGTACCAGGGGCGGAGGGTCCCCTAGAGGTGTATAAAAGGGGCATCCCAAGCAGAGCTCTGAGGCAGTTCTACGAAGACTGAAGAGCCGAAGAGCAGCGAGACGAGGACCCTGGGACCACGATCCCGACGTCCTTGTCAAGGGCAGCGGGTTCGAGCTTGGACCAGTGGTCGAGAGCCGTTCCTTGGCTGGGTCGGGTCAGGATAGACTCCCTAGTCAGGACCCTGGGGACCTCGATCCCGACGTCCTTATTCTTGGTTCTTTCGGTAAAGTCACCACCGCTTAGATAGGGAAACAGTGAAATAATAAAAAATATAAAACGGTAAAATTCTCACGACGTTTCGACCGCAACACAAAGCGGCAATCATCATCAGGTGTGAAAGCCACAGCAAAAAAATAGAAAATTCAAGAAATTTCAAATTCGAGAAAATTTCAAATTTTCCTGCCGGTGGTTTTCACACCTGATGATGATTGCTGCTTTGCGCTGCGGTCGAAACATCGTGAGAATTTTATTGTTTTATATTTTTATTACTTCATTGTTTCCCTATCTACGCGGTGACTTCACCGAAAGAACCAAGAATATGAATATCCCTGCAGTCACGAAAGCTGTAAATGAAAATTTACCCGACGTCCTTGTTAAGGTGCCGGTTTGAGCTGGGACCAGTGGTCGGGGACCCTTGCCTTGGATGGGTCGGGTCAGATAGCCTCCCCTAGGGCACTGATAGCCGGAGGGCTGGGAGCGAACGGGGCGGTGTTTAGGTCACGATGGCCCAGAGGCCATAACTCCCTGGATAGGGGGTGTTAAGGGATAGTCACGTAGTAGGTAAAAAAAATAAAACAACAAAAATCACGACGTTTCGGCCACAACACAAGTGGCCTTTAACCGAATAGAATGGATCCTTGCAGTCACGAAAGCTTCAAATCTAGGTGTTAAGGGAGTTGTTGTTGTTAGTTATAAATAAACAACCCGTGTTGCCTCTACGACCACGTCTCTATCGCCATCAGAACTCACTACGCATATTGCGGATGGCTTCGTGAACGAATCGTTGTTGATGGCCAGTCGGCTCGCAAAGCGCCGTCGTCTGAGAAAAATCAATTTCTCGCGTGAGCCAGCCACATTAAAGTCATGATCAGCCACGGCGGAAGTATTGCACCTGCCGTGTTTCAAATCTGCCTTATGTTCACGAACACGGTCCGAGACATGTCGCTTGGTTTCCCCAACGTAACCGCTGCCGCAGATACAGCTTAGCTTGTGGACGCCAGGAATATTGCCCGTCAGGATTCACGTCCTTGGCAGATGGGAGCAGATCACGAATTTTACGCACTGTATTCTCTTTGGTTCTATTCGGTAAAGTCACGTAGTAGGTAAAAAAATAAAACAACAAAAAATCACGACGTTTCGGCCACAACACAAGCGGCCTTCATCAGGTGAAGGGACCAGACTGGAGGACAGCGCTGGAGTGAAACGCAGCCACGCTCAGACCGCGACCTTTAAGCTGTGTGAGAGTAATCAAGGTGCCTTGACAAAGGAATTAGCGTAAAAATTATTAGCATTTGATTGGCCGACTTAGCATGATGAACGGTGTGGAGGTGGTGTACATGCGGGTGAACATGCCGGTTGGCGGGGGGGGGGGGGGGGGGGAGTTTACCTATTGATGGTGTGAAGCGAGTGGGTGGGTGAGTGGGTGGTCCGAGACATGGACCGCATTCGTGAACACAAAGCAGACCTTAAACACGGTAGGACCAACACCTCGGCCTTGGCAGATCATTGTTCTAATTCAGTAGGCTCACATGCCATTGACTTTTTCAAGACAGAGGTTCTTTGTAAGCCATCTGGCTTCCATGAGAGATTCGTTCATGAGGCCATCCACATATACAAGCACAGAGACAATTTCAACCGAGAAGATGGATTCTATCTTAGCAATCATTGGAAAGATTTGATAAACCATTTCAGGTCTTAATTGATTGTTCACGCTTACAGTGGCTTTCAGACAGCATACATTATAAAAAAATTTCGTCTCCCCCCTCCTCTTTTCAGAATATAGATGGACTAGTCCTAAATAAACTGCCAAATCGTTGCGCGTGGCGCTAACGTTTTTATAAATAAATAAATGCGCCGTTTAAAAAATAAATTTATGCAAACCAACACACCTGAAGACGACCGTTTGAGTTATGGTCGAAACGTCGTGAGAATTTTTTATTGTTTTATATATATTTTATTATTTTGTTGTTTCCCTTCAATGTGACTTTACCGAAAAAACTAAGAATATGAATTACTGCAGTCACGAAAGCTTTAAATCAAAATTTACCAACACACTGTTCCGGCATCAGCGCATCCACACAACATCATGGGTGCATGCCAGGTCCAAGAAAAAAAAAAAAAACATCTGCTGGACTACATAGTGATGGAACAGCGGATGCAGGCCCATATCTTGGACACCAGGACCTACCGTGGAGCTGATCTGCTCACTCTACCATCGACTAATCATCTGTAAGATGTGCCTGCCATTCTTCCACTCCGGTGTTGGGTGTACGTTCAGGACCCCATTCAAACCCACAGTGTCCTGGTCTCAGCTAGCTGATGAAAGTTGCAAGCGAGAATTTTATCATCGCTTTGCAGCTGTGGTTGGCATCGTCCCACCCTGCTCCTGATGCTGAGGGGAAATTGGCGAGGTTTAGGACTGTGACTCACGCAGCTGCAATGGCTGCTTCGGGTACACGGTCCGGACCTCCTCAGAGACTCTGGCTGACAGATGAGGTGGTTAGGCTGGCTGAGAAAAAGCGGCAGGCCCACTCCCACTGTCTACAGCATCGCACGTTGGAGAATGAGGAGGCTTACCTTTGCTCAGAGGTTCGGAGAGCCATGCGGACACTGCAAGGATTGGTGGCGGTCGCGGGTTGCTGAGGAGATAGAGTTTGCCTCAATGGCCCGCGATCACAAATTGCTCTTTAATTACATCAAAAAAGTTACTTGCAGTGCCACACCTATCACCATCCTTTGGGGAACGAATGCTGATCCGATCTCCGACCCCCAGGAGTAGGTTGTCAGATTTTCTGAGCATTTATGTGAGGTCTTGGGTGAGGGGAAATCCCTAAGCCCAGAAACATCGATGGGAAAAGTGGGGATGACCCTGCTGAGGCTGCGGTACCTCAAATATTTAAAGAAGTAGATGATCTCCCAAGTTAAACTGCTGAGGGTGGTGTTTCTATGCAGACTGCCCTACATGACATCATAACAACAGTCTGGACCACTGAATTTGTTCCGCGGGATTGGAAGGATGTCCTGGTGAACCCCCTCTTTAGAACGGGAGACCGTTGAGACTGTAAAAAACTACAGGGGCATCTCACTCCTCAGTGTGCCGGGAAAGGTCCTGGCAAGGATTATTCAACATCGCCTTGCCAGGCACGCTGAGGAGAGGCTTGCGGAGCCCCAATGCGGTTTCAGGAAAGGACGGTCCTGCACAGATGTCATATTTTATGTCAGTCTGCTACAGCAGAGGTGTAAAGAATTCCCACATGACCTGGTCAAGGCCTATGATACCATCAGTAGGCCTGGGCTCTGGGTTGTTCTTCGTGCTTTCGGAGTCCCTGACCCTCTGCTCACGATCATTAAGGACCTTCATGATGGTGAGCGGGTTCGGGTAAAGCTGCATGGCCAGGAGTCAGAACCATTCCCTGTTCACCTTGGGGTGCAACAGGGATGTCCTCTGGCTCCCACATTATTTAACATCTTTTTCCACCACGTCGTTCAAGAAGCTTTCTATAGCTGTATCGGGGGAATTATCATCTGGTGCCCACCGGAGGGCAGGGGCGGTGGTGGTGGCGGCAGAAGCGACGCTGGCCATCACGAATGATCGCTCAACCAAGTGGCTGATTTCATCATCATCATCACGTGGACATTTAGAGCAGCAATCAAACACTCTTAACCCCGTGCTTCTACAGACTCATAGAGACCCATACTAAAACTATAAACGGGGAACGGCAGACATGCAGACTCCAAATATACAACAGCAGGCATTGTCAGGGTCTGGGAATCGGACCCACGACCTCCTGTATACCAGGCGAGGTAGTCAACATCTCCATAGGATGAAGGAGAGAGATGCAAACTCGAAATATACAACAACGGGCATCGTAAGGGTCCGGGAATCGAACCAGCGACCTCCTGTACACCGGGCTAGGACGTCAACATCTAGCGAACGTGTGCAATGTGGATAACAGTGCGGTCGGGGTTGGGATGCTGTTCTCGTTGCACGTAAATAAGTCAAACCACTGCTATTAATATCAAGAGGGGTTGTTGTTGTTACGCACGTGCTAATCATTTGTGTTCATTGTTCCCTATTCTGCGCAAACAGTTCCAGCACAACACGACAAAAATGTATTTCCAAGCTCGAAACCTCGGGGCTCATTTAATCACTCTCGCGTGCATTTTGGTCAGCGATTTCCAATGTCGCCCTCGCTTG